GGATATTTTTTTCTAGCGTAGCGACGTAGAAAGTAATCCTCCTGAACCGTTGTCCTGACGCAGAGACCAAGCTTACAAAGCTTACGAGAGCTAATGCCACGTTCGTTGAGTCCGACCGCCACCGGCTTACCATTCTGACAAACAACAAGCTCAAAGCTGGACAAGTCAAAGAATTATATTCACTTCCCTGTTACGATCGATTATCATATACTGTCACCGTAAAAGCGTGCGTACACCTGAAAATAAAATATCCCATAACTATTTAGTCTCGCTCTGATTCTATGAGCTTACATAGAGGTGCGTACACTACTCGATATTTAGTTGTGTAACTAAACATTTGATTTTGTTCCGAAACTATCGACAATCGCACAACAATTGCGCGATAGTTTAGTCACAAGTGTACGCCTGATCTAAGAGCTGTATTTAGCACGTATTAATATTGCTATAAGATTTTTTCGACATATTATATAATTACTATGCCGTACATGTTGCACTGAGGACGCGCAATATTATAAATAGACGAAGTCATTTGCTAAATCGATATTTTCGTCTGATACGTTACTTTTATCAATTCTTTTATAATCATCATAACCAGATCACGAAACGTACCCACCAAGGGGCTCAGAGCCTACATTTAGTTAGGCCGACTAGGCCATTGTCAACCATACATTTGTTTGAATTTTTTCGTTGATAAGTGCAGGTTGCATAACGATGTTTTCCTTTACCGAAAAAACTCAGGTAAATTTGTACATTTTTAATTAGAAAAATCAAAAATCACATCGATACATGGCGAAATTCGCCCTCAGAACCTGTGGATTTCAAGCCCCTTAGTCACCGACTCTCTATTTCTTTAATGGCATTAAGTAATGATGAAAGTCGGAATACTTATCAAAGTTACATATGTCACTTAAATAACTTACAAGACAATTACAGATAATCGTACCGACGAATGTGAAAACTTTAAAATTAGTTTTGACTGTCTGTAACACTTTTTATAGCTTTCGAGTTTCACGACGCCATCTGTCGCTATTTTATTACACAAGTTTGATAAGAAGTATTGTTTTAACGTCTTGAATGAATACGACACACGAGACTAATAAATTGATCCAAAGAGAGTTTTAACAATTCATTTTACTGGATTCGGGAACGAAATAATCCATCCCTAGTACTCCTTACGTATAAGTGCCGACTGACCGACGTTACGCGGTGTAATATTACGCGTTACGCGGCGATCATACGATGCAGAATAGTCGAATGGGAAATCCATTCTAAGCTAACAAACCAGTTTCGCTTCACATGAAGGTTAGTATCTCTATTCTCGTTTTAGTATCTATTTTCTAACAAGTGGATTCCGTTCTAGTAGATAGCATAGTAAAAATTTCAAAATATTTCCTCTACAACAAAATAACATGTTTTACGAATAATTGGCATAGTTGGTTGCGTTCAGGCGGACTTATACCGTCCAGATTGATTAAATACTCAAGAAGATCGATATCAAGAGCATAAGAAGCCGATGTGAATGTTTGCTTAGATTTAGATAAGATTGTACGTACAAAAGGCGAGTCAGGTCTATGCCAAATGGAGGTTCGCGGCGTCTGTCTGTTTCACGGTTACGGTCGTGAGTAACATTGTTGTAGTTGTAACGAAGTGTATATTATTACCAAAAATATGATGTTGTAATGTTATTCTTGAAATATTTGACTACTCCACTAACTAATTAATGGTCACTAAGGGTGTGTAGACTAATTTTTAAAAAGATACAACGGTTTAAGTGACTTACAGCAGTAAGAATATAAAAAAGGTTGCGAGGATTTATTGTCCACTCTCTTGTCTAACATATGATAATGCTGTGAGCTTTTACAGCATTGTAGTTGTTAGACTTGAAAAGATATATAAAATATTACTCGTGAGCGTGAAAGCGAATGCAGAATAAAAACGACAGGTTTGCATTGTGCAGCTGTTATACTTTGTTTGAACATCTATCATTTATTTTTCTACTAGTTATCGCCCACGACTCCGTCCGCGTGGAATAAAAAAACCAAATTAAGTGGCCTATGTGTTCTTCCAGACTATTCTCTACGTCTATGCCAAATTTCATCGACATCCGTTCAGCCGTTTAGGCTACAAACTCTAACAAACATCCATCCATCTAAACTTTCGCATTTATAATATTAGTATGATACAAAAAAGGAAGTATGCATACAGTTGATGATTCAAATCAGCCACTTCTGAATTATTAAATGGTTAAATAAATTTAGATAATGATAGGTTGCTAAATTATATAAATACAAAGAGGAAATTGTATATTTTATATGTAATGACTGAAGTCCAAAAGTAAAAGATCGATTCCATAAATTCTTTTCGAAAAAATTCTAATTCGAAAGCTAGGTTAGTTTATTAGTACATTTTTCTTTTAAACCCACGAACGAAGTCGCGTGCAAAAACCGTTTTAAATAAATCATATCTTAGTAAAGAAAACACAATACATGAATAATATAACAGCAACATTACCAATATGAAAACAATGAAAGCTCTTTGTAAGAGATCATATAGCCCGATCTAAAACTTTGTACGACTCTGACTTCAAAAGAAATAACTTTAGTGTACGAATATTTGAGAACTTTATTATCTTTGAATCGGTTTATTCATTGAATAAATGGAGATTTATTTATTTCTTGAAATTAAATTCATTGAATAGCTTTTTCGTTGGTATTTAAAAAGTTTTGAGACAGAATAAAACTATTTAAGTATTGTAGCTTTATTATACTAGACAGTATTAATAACAACAGCAGTAAGAAACCTTAATTAACTGTTAAGTTAATAATCATATACAATGAAACCTATTATCGAATAAAACAAAGACAACAACTTCTAAAATTGCTTCAAACGAGCTGTCGCCCGCAAACTTCGTTGAATTTAAAAAAATGACTTCAGTCACAGCATTAATTGTAATACTCGTAATATGTAGTAGTTATAAGTATTAATACTCATACATATTATTGTACAGTTTTGTTGTTGGAATTTCAGTTTCAATATAAATGGGATTGAATATTGATTGTTCGATAGCCGTTTGGTTTTGTGGTTCACCTATTCATCATGGAACGTCGGGTCAAAATCCCTAGTGCTTGCTAATTAAATTTCCGAAACATTCTCATGGATTTTATATACTGATCTGTATAAATAGTTAGGTCAGTGCTTAGAAACATTTACTTCATCGATCCAAAACACCAACAAATGGTTAAACGTAGTTGGAGAACCGGCCATAAGACAGTTATTATATCTATATATTATTAGTTCTTCTCCTCACCACCGCTAAAAACCGCGTCTGTTAACGAAATGGCGAAAATCTAAAAGGCACAAAATATCACGTTGATAGTCTGTGCATTTGTTGATGATTTTACAAAAAGTGTTTTGTATACAATTATGTTGTATGTATACAACCATTAATTACATAATTGTTCTTTGCACGGAAGAAGTTTTTATTACGGTTTCATCTACCGTAAGATTACCTTTTATAAGTAATAGCTGTTCTCGTGCGACTTCATCCGCATAAAATTATGAAAATTTTATTTTCTTGTTTACATTTGTCAAATTACAAATTACAAATGTCAAAATGACATGACATGATGACAACCTTGCTACCTTGATGTTCGCAGCAACTTATGGTCTCTTTTTCACATTGGGGTTTTTATCCAAAATATTTACCCCCTAAGTTTAATGGTGTTTAAATATGTAGTCTAAAGCGTGATGCAAGTGTAGGGCTTTTTATTAAAAGAGGAATTATTTAAAAATATGCTGTAATTGCTAACATCTTAGGCAACACAGAAGTGTGTGTACACGCTTTATTATAATAGTATAGAAGTACAGATATCAGTAATAATAGCTTATTTTAATTAATACTGTTTAAGGATCAACTTTGATGACGAACATTAATTTCTAAATTATTTATCGTATTGTTTTTATTATAACGTTCAATTGATATAACACCCGTTTCTGTCGTTTAAATGTTACTTACTGAAACGCAACCAATAAAATATTATAAGCAGTTCCCCTTATTATTTTCACAAAGTGCCATTCAAGAAGATGTTGCTTCTAATTTAATTTTACAAGTGATAATGATGATAGTGTTTTTAAGTATTTCAGTAGAGATAAGTAATAAACAATATACAGACGAATTGAGTAGAGTCTATGGTATTTTTAGAACTAGGCATAGACTATTATATTTATTAAACGCTTCGTTCGTTTTTAGAGATTTAGTTCGATTGTAGTTTGTAAGTTATGGCGATAATTTATTTGTATTTCCTATTTTAAAGTAGATGATGCAATATAGATCAGTCTATAGACATCTTAAATGGACAGAGGAGAAGTCGAAAGATAGAATATAATCCCTTTCTGTATGCCAAATCTACTTCTTACTCCCTTTTCCTCGTTAGAAAATTATGGATAGGGAAAGGGGGCTCTCTGTAGAAAAAGTGTTTACTGTAGAGAAACAATTATCTACACTACTATTATGAAAAGGAAAGATTTGTAGTTTTGTATTTTTGTATACTTTGAAACTACTTAAAAAGTACTGGAACGATCTTAAAATTTCTTTCAACAATAAAAATATACGTTACTGATGAATAACTTATATTTATTATTGTTTTTTATTATTACACGGGGACAAAGTCGGGAGCAACAGCCAGTATTGTATATAAAGGTTAAGATATTATAGGTACGTCTTATTAATTTTATGAACATCGACGTGACTCAAAGCTCGTTAAGTCTAACAGCTTTATTCTGCAGATAAAGGTATATTGGAAAATTTTATGAGCGTATTTTATCCTTGCCTAAGGATCTGTAAATTACCTCAACTTTCTTTATCAATTGTCAATTAAATCTTACCAACGAACTGTAAGTTATTAAATTATTTAGTTTAATCTAAATGCTTCATTTTAAAGTTATAAAAAATAATAAAAAAAAGTGTTTTATAGCCAATTTAGCTAAATGAAACAAATATGTATATTTCACACTGATTAATTGAAGAAGTAAAACTGTTTTCTAACACAATAACTGCATAATAACAAATATTTCTACATACATTTATCTCTTACAAAAACGCACGTATAAAGGATGCGTGGAACGTAGTATGAGGTCACATGTGAACTGAACATCTTCATGCTTAGTTACAGGCTCGATATGGAAACGTCTGAGCAGACTCGACATCACTGTTTTCATTTCCAACATGGCAAACTTCTGGCCTGAAACATTGAATTAACATATACAGGTGTTTTAAAAATCAAAACAAAAAAGTAAAAAATAATTACTTTCTTTCGTCGTTCTTTTTAAAAGAGGCCCCGCTTCATTATATTACATGCCTATTTGACGTTAACGGTAGTAATTGGTAGTAATAGTGACATTTCGAATAATACAGATAGAACAAACTGTCATAACGTCAATATTCGCGTTTAATTCGAAACGCTGATATTTCCAAGTAACAACCTACGAATTTAATAAAGAACAATGGGCTATCCGAATATATTAAAAAGTGAGTAAAATTTTTCTTGCTTCACTAAAATTCAACAAAGTGAAGCTGTAAAATGTAATATCTCTTTTAAAAGCATTTTACTATAATTGTAAATTGTATTCTTACCTATACAATTTCTTGGTCCAGCGCTAAAGGGAATGTAAGCGTAGGGGTGACGTTTGTTTGCGTTCTCAGGCAGAAATCGCTCGGGAATAAACGTCTCCGGGTCAGGGTACAGATGCTCGTCGTGATGCATGTCGTACAAATGAATCTGACAGAGTGTGTCTGCTGGGATTTTATACTTACCTGTAATAACATATGAACAGGTACAAGGTTACCTCTGCCGAAATCATACGACAAACAATTTATTAACGCTCTTATATCTCTGAAACATGTGTTGGATACAAATTTGAACAGGACAACGTTTTTGTATGAACATTGCAGCAGTGAAAACCTCCAATAAAGTAAACAATAAAAAACAAACTGAGTATTCAATTTGGTAGATTGTTTGCGAATCACAATTTAATTACAAACGTTATAATGTCTGAAATCTATACTATTATAATGAAGCGTAAACACACAGTTCTTTGTTGCCTAAAATCTCATCAATCACAGCATATTTTTGAATATTTTTTTTTTTAATATAAAGCCCTACACTTCCGTCACGCTTTAGGCTATATATTTTCGCTCCATTAAGCTTGGGGAGTAAACATTTTGGATAAAAACCCTAATGTGAGAAAGAGACCATGGGTTGCTGCCAACATCAAGGAAGCAAGATTGCCAAGTTTTGTCATGTCATGTCGTTTTGTTATTTGCAATTGACAATTTGACACATGTAAACTGAAATTGCATGGGAACAGCTAGTAACGGATAAACTGAATAAGGAGTGACTAAGAATAACAAGTAATATATTTTTAGACACTCAAGCCATGTCTTACCGAGTTGTACTTCTTCAGCTAAATATCTAGATATAAAAGGCACACTTGGATATAGTCTTAGTGACTCCTTGATGCAGCATTCCAAGTATTTCATATTATTAAGGTCTTCGATTGTTGCCACTCTATCCGATTCACCAAATATATTTTGTAGTTCTTCATAAATGAAATTCTAAAACGAAATAATTTTACTCTATGTACTCATTTGCTTAATAGAAAAATATCTAATAATATAATTATAATACATATATGTAACATATTGTGTTTCAATCTTACCTGTATACTTGTTTCATTTGCTATTCTCATTATCATAAAAGATAGTGCACTTGCTGTTGTGTCATGACCCTGAAAAGAAAATTATTTTAACTAAATTACTATTAAAAGGCGAAACACATACATCATCTTGATAAATTTATACGTAATTTTGGGCTTTAAAATTCAAGATTACCAAAATTCTTTGTTTTAACAAATGTCGAATTCTCCGTCGTCACAAACATTAATACTATTGACACGTACCTCAAACATAAAAGTGTCCACTTCTTCTCTAATACCTTCTAAGTCTATGACACCATCTTTTTCATTTTCTAGAAGTAAATCTAGCATTGCAAGTCGACCTCTCCTACCATAAACATCGTCATTATCTGTATCTATCATAATATTCTTTGAGTTAAAATGCTTTTTGCGGTCTCGAATTACATTCATTGTAAAATCATGAAGGTCACTTATTGCCTTTTTTTGAATTCTCCCAATTTTAGAATGATTAAATAATATATCTACGTACAGCCAAACTCTACACAATCTATGGACAACGAATTTACCTATTTCATTAATTGCTTTCAAATACTTGTCGCAGATAGATTGCATGTGTTCTTTATTAGCTCCACCCATGGCTGTCTCTGAAAAATGATTACTTTTAGATACATTGATCATTGACGTTTAAATTTTCGACATACTTGTATAAAAACTATTTCTAAATTAGACCAGACTACACCTTATACTAGAAAAAAGTCCCGCCCTCATGCATCGAATAAGAGCATGTAAAAAGCATAAAGCATCAAAAAGCAGTGGTGACTGAGTTGGCGTATGATGATGTTATGTGGAGGACAAAAACCTGCTGCGCTGACCCTACGGGAGTAGGATAATCAGGAAGATGATGATTAAGAGCATAAATGGTCTCCCCTCTAGACCAATCTAAATCATCGACTGGCGACGCACATGTTACCATCGTAAGTAGTCCTTCGATGTATGTTGGTCTGAATGATACATACATACCACACATAATGTTGAGAGTTGCATTCGTTATCAATGGCTGTACATCACATATTTTATTAGTTTCAATATCCACTTGGGCCATCAACTTCTCCGTTTGTTCAGTAAACGTACGGAAGTATTTCTTCAAGATATTAAAGTGAAAAGCTTGTGTCAACATTTTTCGACGTTGATGCCATTTATTACCTAAGACATTACATTACTTCAACTTTAATCAAATAATTTTAAATCTTTTTAGTTTCCAGCTGTCGCCGGTGACCTTGTACAGTAAACAATAACTGAGTAGTAATCATGCAGTATTTATATGCTATTCAAAAGTAATTTATGTTTCTGATTTTATTTAGATCTTTTTTTTAATATAAGGTGGCAAACGAGCGAGCGGCCACATGAATCTGCCAAACTGACGAAGCAACCGCTGCCCATAGACATCCGCAATTGCGGATGTATTGCCTACAATTAATCGAAGGAGGAGGAGACGCACAAAAAGAGGATATTTCTCCTTCCAATGCGTCTCCTGCAACGTCAAATCCACGTTCCCTTCCCATCCTTTTCTTATAAGAAAAAGAGAAGGGAGGAAAAGGGACTAAAGTTGGGTACAAGCCTTCATAGAGACATCCGTCCAAAAATCTTTATCATTTTCAAATTACTACCTTTTCCCCGCAACTCCGTTCACGTGGAATTAAAAAAGCAGTATATTAAAAAATATCCATTCATTTAAACTTTAGCATTTACAATATCAGAAAGAATTAAGATTTACGTTAAAACTAATAACTACATTTTTAAAAACAAGTTCACTTTTACTCACCGTTACTTACAAGAAGTCCTTCACGAAGCCACGGCCTTAAAAACGTATAAGGAATTTGTTTATCAACAAAGCGAGTGCTCGATAGTATTATCTAAAATTAATTAATCATTTCAATGAAATTGTTTACAAATCAACGATCTTCCTCATTGTCATTTAACCGTATTATCTTTACTTCGCTATTGTGTTCTCTGATACCAATTGTATACCAGAACTTGACCGTATTTACAAACCCTTCAAATGTTTTTATACCAAATAAACATTGGTACCAAGTGGGAATGTAGTTGGACCAATGTTACATGAACATAAATGTTTCTGTAAAATGCGACAAATTTCAATTGAAAGGCCAAAGAAGTTTACTGAGATCGAATTTTAGTCTTGTTTCACTGTTTCCCTTTCCATTCTTTCCTTATATGTATAAGAAGGGGAATGTCCTCTTACTTTTAACTTCATGCAGATGTCTATGTTATAGCGAAATCCGATGGCTGATTTCTTGTTTGCTACGGACTTCTAATACTAAAGAGTTTGGAAAAACTAATAAATATTTATCTTTTAAAATTACCTCTACATAATTGGGATTAGAAATATTAATAGTTTGTACATTGACTGCGTGTAATTGATAGATATCTCCGTACTCTTTGCGAAGTTTTCTAAGATAATTGAACAGACGATCTGCAAATTAAGAGAAGTTAAGGCTAAAGAACGAAATCCAAATTTACGTAGAATAACTCACTTCATCTTTAGCATCAACATTCTTCACACATTCACTTTCACAATCTGAATTCACTAATAGCTTATGCATGTCCTCTATTATTCAATCCATCCACTACTTTCTTTGGTCTTTATCCGTGTTTGTAACAATCCATACACATGAAACAATTCACATCACATTAAAATAAAATTATGCACAAATTTAATATAACCATAATAACACCATCAATCATAATTTTAACACATCTATTTTAAAATTAAAACAAGTTATATCATACCTAGAGGCACTAATAAATAATGTGAGTTCCCAATTAAAGGCCATGCTTTTTGTCCTGGAATTTTACGAATATTTTTGTTTTTACGTCGATCCTGGTATAATATTAAAAGTATTAATAAAAGAAATATCGGAAATATCAAAAGCATTGTGGCACTAAGATGCAAGAAAACTGCACGAAGTATGTTAACAGACGACTGCTCATTGTTAATATATCGCATCTCGAAGGTTATTATGACGGGGATAATTTAAATCGTTTTTAAACGATAATAAAAATGCGTATAGCATATAATCGCAACGGATTTTCATTATCAACCTGCCTTTGTCCCTAAAGGGTCTGCACAGTAAGTGCTGCACTTCTCATCTTTATCAGCCGTCATATCTGAATTCACTCCCTTAAGCATATCCTCTTTTCCAATATCCATCCATACTTTCTTCGGTCTTCCTCTACCTTTATAGCCATCCACATTCAATCTTAATACCTTGTTATTTATGTGGGATGACCTCATAATAATTTCCGTATAATATATCCATACCATGATATCGTTTTGCTTCTCAATTTCTCCGCCAATGGCGCTACTTTCAAAAACTTTAATATACAAATTCTTAACTTTATCCCATCTTATCACATCTTATTCACCTTAACTTGACCACATTGAGATTTTCATCACAAATATTTTCTTATTTAATTAATTGATCTTTTAAACGCCAGTTTTGTTTTACTTTACCATTTACTTCCTCTAGTTCTATCACTTCCTTGACATCACAAAAAAAATGTATTAACTATAATTAAATTAAATACAATTCAAAGGAAAATAATAAAATATTGGTTATGGTTATCGATATAATTTTCGAAGCTGATTTTAATCTAGCATTCCTACGGTTTTTATAGTCATTTCTGACCTGGCAGTCAAAAGGTTAGGTAGATACATTATTCTACTTAGACTAAATAAGCAAGTGTTTTTCCGTCAGCTTACATCAAAATAAAAACAACAAACAAAGATTGATTAAACGTCCTATTAGGGTGGAACCGATGAAAACAATAAGATTTTTTCTACAATTATCTTCATTAGGAAACGCTATTATAACTGAATGTGACAATCATTAATTTGAATACAATAAAGAATGCAAACAAGAATTTGCAATCTTATTCATACTTTTAAATAAAAAATACTATGCAGTTTAAAAGCACGTACATAAAAAAGTATTAAAAAAAAATCATGTCATGTTGAGAACGTGCACACACCTGAAACTAAACTATCGCACAACTGTTTAGTCTTTGATTCCTATGAACTTATGTGGAAGTGCGCGCACTAATCAATTTTTAGTTGTGCAACTAAACAGTCAAACAAGGGTGGATCCGTGAAGGTGGGCAGGTAGTTGTGGTCAAGTCAAGACCTTAACAAATAAAATATGTAAATATATTTTGTCAAGCTCTTGACCAACCAGCGTGGGGGGGAGTCATGACCCCCATGCCCCCCATGGATTCCGCCCTTGTAGTTGAATTGGCTGCGAAACAATCTACAATCGCACAACTGTTGTGCGATAGTTTAGTTATAGAAATTGATCTATATTGTTTTCATTTCTTTGGTTGGTCTACATATACGGTATGTTAAAAACAATAATCAACTGGGTATTCCAGAGGCTAATTCCTTCGTTATTCTGTTTTTAATGAAGAAATGTAGGAAGAGCAACAAATGTGTCAGGAGAGATGTACATATCAAAAGGATAGATTATTTGGCAGTCAACACTTGTAACTATACACTAAAACAAATCATCTTTGGAGTAAAATTCGTACGCTGCAGTAAATATCTAAGTATTGCGAATAGAATTATCCGACTTTCAACAGATGCATGAAGTCGATTAAATAAAAAAATAAGTAAGGAAAAAACAACGGAAATACTAAATTCCGTTCGCATACATACAAGGAAATCTAAGCTATAGTTGTAATTATTATATAATCGTGAATCTGCCGATATCATTTTTTATTTTAATAGACTGTGTGGGATTATATCGGAGTATGTTTTTTTCAAGGGTTTCACGTGAGAAATCTCTTGGTTTACACTCTTAATTAATAACCCCTTATAATATATCTATCAAGGCCTCAAAAAACGTAAAACAATAGATTGGTTTTATTGGTCATGTAGTATCCATTTAACGATCTATTTTTCACATCTAATTGTAGATAAATTACATTAATTGATAAAAACTTCGATTGAATTGTTTTTTTTTTTCAATGATCAAAGGTTGTTAACATCGTAGGTTCAGTCAGTGGTATCAGATTACCAATTAATTAAAATAAATATATTAAAAAATATGCTTCTCGTTATAAGAAAATAACTTTTAACAGACGCAAAATATTATAATTGGTGATCGGTGCTCTTTTTATTTGACTTTCCCTTTTGTTTTGTATTCGGATTTATTAAATACTAGCTGTTGCCCGCGACTTCGTCCACGCAATGTTAAGATAAAAAGGTAGCCTATACATGCCCGTGTATGTCAGCTACCCTTCAGAGAAAGTCCGGTCGAAATTGTCCCAGCCGTTTCGAAGATCAACCGAAACAAACGCGGCTTGCTGACAGACCGACCAAAAATAATAAACGTAATTTTCGTTATTAGCAATGGAAATACATCATCTTACCGAAATCTGATTTTTTTTTCTTTTGATATTACAGACACTCCTATTTTACTATATGTATGTAGAAGATTAAACAATAAATGCATTGTTTTAAATAAGTGTGAATCATTAAATTTAAATGTAAATTTATTAAAAGTAACATTACATTATATTATAGTTACGGCCAAGTAGATATTTAATAATATCGAGTAGAAATGAACTTTTGAAAGGACACATTGGGAACATTTTTCTGCAATTTATTTCATCGTGAGCTTTTCGACCAAACTCGTACGCAGTCTCGAATACTTCCAAAGAATCTTTGTCTTCATCCCGTGGGTCCAAGCTGAAACAATTATTTTTAATTATTATTATTTACTAGCTGTTCCCATGTGGCTACCTTTGCAGGAATTTAAAAAAAAAACTTTGTTTTATTGTTTACATTTGTCAAATTCTCAATAGCACATGTCAAAATTTCCATTACCATAATAACCTTGCTTCCTTACTGTTGGCAGCTTCTAGTTTATGGTCCCTTTCCCGCATGAACCTTATTTTATTTACTTCTAAAGTATAATAGCGTGAAAACATATAACCTAAAGAATGTCGTAAGTGTAGGGCTCTTTATTAAAGATAGAATTATTCAATAATATGCTGGGATTGCTGACATTTTACGCCACGAAGTAGTGTGTTTACGCTTTATTATATTAAGTATAGATTAAAAAACTTTTTAACCTAACAATCTTCAAATACCACGTCATCGGGCCAGCCCTCTTAGACAAAATAACAGTCGGTTATCGCTATCGCTGATTGAAAAGTTAGAAATGACGATAACATTTTATAAGTCACGTGCTTGTCACGTATTTATTCCTATACATTTCGTCGATTCTACTAACGGTATCGCTAATCGAAAGTCACTTTGATTTGGGGGGCAGAATGCCTTGTCAGTCTATTGCATCGAGTCCCAATGTCGCATTTGTCGCTTGTGACAAAAATAGCTTTTATAAATTACAGTCAAAGGTTTATAGCGCATGGACTGAATTTGAATTACACAATATTTTCAAGCGCTTCCACAATAGAGAACTGTAGATCGGTTACAATGAAGTTCATTATTTTAAGAGTAAACATGACAAGTATAAAAATGTTGCGGTGATATAAAATAATCACCTGAGCATTAATATGAGACCTCTGCGTATTTCCCCGTCCGGCCCCGCAGCCGCCGTCGCCGCTCCCAGCGTACAATAGAGGAACCGAGCGCATTGTATTCTATCATACATTAAAATTTTTCTCCACCTTACGCTTGGTCTCTGTAAAGAATTTTTGAAAAATTTGTTTAGTGAAAAGAACTTTTCTAAACGAAACTTAAATTAAAAAAGATATAAACACAAAGGTAGACACATAACAGTATGTGTGTTTTATTTCAGAGATTATTTCGACTAAAGGCAGCCATACACGATACAAGCAAACGATGCCAAGATCTTACACTAGGTTGTAACAATATTGAATTCTCATACGAGTGATAATTATCTTATTTATAACTTAAACCTTTGAACTTCACATGTTTTTATTTAAGATGAAAATGAAATTATTATAATTGCTATAGATATTGTTGAAGTTAGAAATAATTAAACAAAAATTCTAAATATTGCTGTTTTTTTTTTTAGAATAAAATAAAATATAAGTTTGTTTACGAGTGTTTCTGCGATGAATTAGTATAATTTATTACAGACCAATTCTACACCTAATTTAAGCAACAAAGTGTAGCTTAGATTATAACTAAGAGCTGTGTTAGTTACAATGTTTAATTTTACAAGTTTTAATGTTGACTTACCGTATAATTATGCGAACTGATATCCCTTTTAAATAGAAATCGAAGAAGTTTGGAAGCAGTAACCGCTTGGTAATCTTGAACGAGTATGTGAATGCAATACAAAACTCCAAGCGATAAACCTAACAAAATTATCAATCTGGAAACACAAGGAAGGTTAGAGCATTTACATATTTGTTGGTTATCTAATAGCGTACAGTATTGACATTTCATTCTTTTTAATTGCTTGAATTTGTTCGTTTATCAATCGTCTGTTCAACGGGATGTCATTGTCATCTCTACAAGGTTTTATTTTTAAGGTTGCAATTTTATTACCTTAAAGAGTTATTGTGGATGGACTAAACGTATACAGTGGTAGTAAGATCAGCTAGAACAGTGTTAGAGCCTGGATTAAATCTTCGTGTAATACCACGACCACACAGAAGCCAGGCGTGAAGTGGGAGCAATTCCGCATTTCGTCTGATAACTGTGATGCTGGAGGCCCAACTTTAGTCGCTTTTCATTCCTACACTTTATCTTATGAGAAAAGGTTGGGAAGGGAACGTGGATTTGACGGTGAAGGAGATGCATGACCGATATGGATAAGATGCAGGAAACATCGTTTTTTTGTGCGTCTCCTACGTCGTCGATTACGGGTAGGTAACGCACCCGCTATTGCGAATGTCTGTAGGTAACGGTCGCTTCGCCAATTTGGCGAATTCAGGTGGCCGCTTGCTCGTTTGCCACCTTATGATATATATAAAAAGCTAGGAACTTAAACGACAACTGAACCTTAACGTAACCTTTTCCTTAAAAATGTAAAAAAAAATTCTAAATCATAATTAACAGACTCATTATCAAAGAAAATTTATTTTGCATTATAATGTCTACAGTTTTAATTACTTTTCGCAGATTCATACATATTTTATGGAAGTAATTAAAGCCGTAGATGTGATATTGTTAGGAAGTATGCTGAGCACGTCTCCAACGACGAGCTTAGAAGATTCACAATAAAGGAAAAGTACGCAGGAAGAGGTCGCGTATTATGACCATAATTAGGAAATTTAAAATGTAAGAAAACGAAGTAGATTTTAAAAAATGCAACAAGTAATGTCATTCATGGATTGAGTAAATATATTGGAAATATTCTCTACGTCCGCGTGGAATAAAAAAAAATAATAAGTTACCTATGTGTTCTTCCAGGCAATGGTGCAAAATTAGACAAAGATCCGTTCCTACAAGCTCTAACAAACTTCCATCCATCCATCTAAACTTTCTCATTTATAATATTAATAAGATTAATATGTATATTTTTAGTGTAAATAAACGAAGTAGACACGAACAGACAGATAAATTAATTGAGCACCATATTCTATGACAGTTATGGTGCCGAATTTTTGTTGTCATAATTTTAAAACATTTTTCAACACGCTATTTAAAAAAAAAACAATTTCAATGAGGGGAATTCATACTAACAATTTAACTATAACAAACAGCTAAAAGTACAAAAAAATCTTACTTGTATCCCATGTTTTATTAACAGAGTATAAACTAAATAAAACCGCTAACACCACTGCACAGTAACTATAGTTAAAAACGTTTGTTTTTCTGTATATCCTTAAGTGTGATTCCGTGTAACACATGCAAGTTGGGAAGGTGCTTTAACCGGACCTTTTGCAGGTCAATTGTGTCATATGCAAACTGGACGTCTAGCACGAGGCCGTAAGTGGCGGGAAAGCGGTTGGTTATCTAAGACAAGTTTGAAATATAACTGCCGTTTTTAGAATAAAGATTGGATTAAGGAGACGGTAATCAAAGAATTGTTTTATTGTAGAATCGTATTTTTATGTCACCCAAGATTTTATATCAAAACACCTAGTAAGTATTAAATAAAGAAAACGGCATGTAACCAATATAAATGGAAGATAATAGGACAAATCCTCTGTTAACAATTGTCGAAGTCAAAAAACAGAACAGTTAAAATAAAAGCAACTATTTTGAGGTAACCCCAATTCCAGTCAAGGCAAACGTAAACTGACACTGAATTGGATTAATTTAAACTGAGTATGACGAGTTACATTATACTATAACTAATTAAAATAAAGTTTATTCCTAAATACATTTCTGTGATACTTAATCTATGTTATTTTATACCCAACAAGAACATTACTGTTGCATAACAAAACGCGAAGTGCGCTTATCTCTTAAGAGATGACTCGCTCCGGCGCTCACTTTCTTCTTGCTATAACCATAATCGTTGTTGTACTTACGGACAAACATTTTAATTTACCTACGCTTTTAGTCCAACTGAGTTTTCACTGCCAATATACCTGTACAAAAACATGGCTTCCTCACTTTAAAGTTTATAAGAATCAAGAATTCGAGGGTGCTACGTAAGGTATTGGAGATTGTCTGATATAAACAGATGTAATTATCCAGCGGTATACTAAAGGTTATCGCGCATTCGTCCACTCCTCGCCACTTGTGTCTCCACATGTCGTGTCGTCGTCGCCACTGTTGAGTAAGGATAGATTTTTTTTAGCAAAACGTTATGTCATTCTCACCTGCACAGGTGAATAGGGCGGTGTCGGGTGGGCAAAGAGTGGACTAATGCGCGTTAATCCTATCAGGTCTCACAAAACTGTAATAAAACAAACTCAAAATTATTTTCAAATAAAATAGGCATATGAAGTTTTACTCAAATCAAAACATGTATCTGAGATGTATGTTTTAGAGGCAACACGTGTTTCTCAATTTTCAATATCAGTGAAACGAGATAATTAATTTGAGAACCGTTCATTTAGCTAACAAATACGCCCAGTAATCTGTCTGTATTCCTCTTTGTAAATTATCTCCAATCCAATTTGTCGACAAACATTTTATCAGACACATCATTAACATGCCTTAACATTTGAAGGGCGGAAGAATCCAATTTCCTATAATTATAAATTGGCCTTTCATGTCCCGAATTAAATGGATATTTATTTGAAACATTTTTAATTGGATATTACAAAAATGGAACATTTATAATGAGTGTTTTGTTTCTGACTGGCCAGACAAAACTAGCTTTTGCCAGCAACTTTGTTAGTGCGGAATTAAAAAACAAAACTATTTAAGTAGCATATGTGTACTGCCACTCACGTGGGACAAATGCACAAGGTTTACAAACCTTAATGTTTTGATTTCATTTTAACGGCCACGCCTGCCTGCCAACCTCACTTAGGACAAATAAATAAGCGCTTCGGAAATATGAAGCGAACTAACGAAGAATGAAGAAATAACCTAAGGTGAGATATCCACTTGTACATCATTATGCTCTAGTAGTATTCAGATTTTTAAAAATGACGTTTCCTTTTAATTAAACATTAGTTGTTCCCGTGCGACTTCTTTCGCATGTACTTATGAAGATCTTATTTTATTGTTTACATTTGTCAAATTCTCAATAGCAAATGTCAAAGTTACCGTTACCATAATAACCTTGCTTCCTTAATGTTGGCAGCTCGTAGTTTATGGCCCCTTTCCCACATGAAAGTTTTTTCCAATTTACTTACCCTCTAAGTTTAATAGCGTGACGTAATATAGCCTAACGCGTGATGTAAGTGTAGGGCTTTTTATTAAAGAAAGAATTATTCAAAAATATGCTGTGAATGCTGACGTCCTACGCCACAAAGTAGTGTATGTTTACGCTTTATTATTTTAGTATAGAAGTATAAATATCCCAATTTTCTGTATAAATTTTGGTAACTAAGTCATAAGAAGGATCGTTAGTAAAAAGCAACGAGAAGGAAACGCAGACGGACCGGTTGTTTTAGTGACGTATGTATAAACGTTGTACTTAATGTTTTCCTCGTATTTTGCGAGAGTTCACGCAATATATAAAGTTTCGGAAACAGTATGTAGTTAACGAAAAGTTAAATTGGATTAACTCTAAAGTATTCGTATTTATCAGGAATATGACTCGGAGGTATTTCAATATCGTGCATCAATAAATTATGTCCTATAGTACTAGTAAATGGCATAAGTTGTAAATAGTAGAATTTAAAATTAAATCTATTTATTTTAAATTTCTGTCTTTCTATACATAAACCTGCGTTCGTTCCAGGTGATATCTCAAACGGCCGGGACCGATTCTCGTATAGGAAGATATTTCATGTGTGCGGTAGTAACTTAGTCATTTTTAAATCATGTATAACGTCACAGTAAACATAGCTGCTTAGTGTAGATATAATAAATGTGAAATTATTCATTAAGGTACTCGAAAACAACATCGCGTCTCTACTCCTTAAAATTAGTCTAACTATCTTGTTTCTCCATTTAAAATTGTACTTAATAAGGCACAAAAACCCGTCTCAAAACACTTTAAATGCACGCGTCCTTTAAATAACGAAATATCAAGCAACTCTAAGCTAAATAATCTTAATAATTCCAGTACTAAATGTGAAAAGGTGTACAATCTACGACATCTAAATTGTGTTTTACTTAATTTTATTTTAAAAGTACTAGAAATCATGATAACACATAGTTATTTTTTTGCTTTATAGTATTCACAAATTTGTTTCAAAACTAGCGACTTTTTAGACTTGACTTGACTAGACTTTGTTTTTATAAAGAAACTAAATTGGGAAAAGCAGAACCCCGTACACAAGATACGGCAAATCTACGATTGTAGTCTCTTAGTAGCTCATGAAATACAATCTCGTTTGCGTCGCTTCCTATGAACCTCTATGATATTATATTGAGAAAGTCGCTTCAATACTAAAATCGCAGATTTGCGTAGCCTTGTGCAGGATGGCGCTAAGGATAAATATAAGTAAATCATCAATCCAAACGTAAAAAAGAATGAATTTCATGTTTAAAATAATCAAATACCTGTCTACTGAAACGTTACAAAACAAATGAAGTCAAAGTAATTTTAATTAAATACCTATTCCCGACCTCGACCTTTCTAGAATGTAAAATTCATTAAAGGGCAAGCAAAACCAGTTTAGACAGTGATTGATTGACAAGAATTATTGGGGATTTATCAATTCCATTTTAATGTAACTAGTACTTATTAGTATACATTATTAGGTTAAAAAGCTATACGTGTATCAAGGAGACTTGATATTTGTTGCATAAAAATTAAATTAGTCTGAATTTCTTTTGGCATAATTTGCCACTTTCGGACACAAGAGTATTCCTTTGTCCGACGTGCCAATCTCTATAGCGGTTTACAAAGCAACATTAGGTACATCCTTAGATGAGTTAAAATTCCATTAAGATAATTAAGTTATTCATTTTATTATAATACGAGCTGTTCGCAACTTCGTCCGCGTAGTATTAGAAAACATACGAACTATATAAATTACAAATAGCCACGTATCCCTCGGGAACCGGACATTTCTCGGTGATGAAGCTTATCCCATGTGTACTCCAGACTTTGTTTTATATCTGTGCCAAATTTCAAT